AAACTCTCCAAAAAAAAAAAAAAAAAGAATTAAGGGACCAGGAGATGGTGTAATGGTTATATCACTGGACTCTCATGTAGTCAACCGTGGTTCAAATCCTGGACCCAGAAGCTTAAAGTTCACACCGGGTGCATATATGTGCACCCAAAATCCCGAAAGGAGAATGGAAGAGAAAAGATTACGGCATAGCCATCCCTCCAGAGGGTGATTTCTTGTTTTCTGTCTCTCTCTGTGTCTCTGGTGAGCGTATACACTCTATAGAAAAAAAAAAAAACTCTCTCTCTCTAAAATAAATAAATAAATAAATAAATAAAATTAAATAAATTCTTTAAATCAGCTATACTCTAAAATGTACATACCAGACATCTACCTACAAATAACACATAAATATCATTATGCAAATAAATGAAGATGCATCCTATTACCTTCCTCAAGTTCCATCTCTTCTTCTTGATCTTCATCTTCATCTTTGGTATTGATAACTATATGAAAAATATGTGTATTAAAGCTGAGATAATATACTTAAGTATGAAACTATTTTTAAAAAGGGCAGAGAATCAATTACCATAAAATTCAGGATACTAATTCTTTTTATGGGAAGGGAATATTTAGTAATTGAGGGGCACAAGGGAACTTTCTGGACGTTAGCAATATTTGTTTCTTGCCAGATTTTCACAGGTGTACATGCGCTGTGATAAACCATGTATCTTCCTATCTCTGATTTCTGCTCTTTTGCAGGTGTTTTTTTTCACACTCACAAAAAAAGATACACGAACAAAAAAGTCAAATCACTGATAGTTAATATGCACTAATTTTAGAAATGATGGAATTTGGTGAAAAATTATTTTAAAAGAAAATCGCCTGAACCTTGTAGCTTCAGTTGCATTCACTACACAACACACATCCTAAATAATCATCTGTCTTTCTGGCCAAAATCATCAAGCTTGCTGTAGGACTAATTGTAGCTACCCTAACTTCGTAGATTATGAATAAAGTCAAAATAAAATTAAATACAGGGTCTCACTATGCTTAGGCTAGCCTCAAACTTGCAATCCTCCTGCTTCAGCCTCTCAAGCAGCTGGGAATATACATAGGTATCACTGCACTCCACTAAAATTAAATTCTGAATGGAATAAAACACATGTTCAATTACTAAGGAGAGACTATGGGCTGATTAGATTCACCTGGCTTCTCCCTGGTCTGTGGGATTATACCACTCTTATCTTTGATAGGAAGCAAATGAATCAGTTCCTTCTCAGGTGCAGTTTGCAGAGTTCTTGGTATTTTTTCATATTTATCTATAACGCGTTCATGCTTTCGTTTCTTGGCGTGAACAGGCTCACTGTAGGAAAAATATTCAATTTTCAGTTTTAATATATTTATAAGGGTACCTAAAGACCTATCATTTTAAAAGTACAGAAAAAGAAACCACCAGCCAAGCCTTCAAGAGGCACACAGACATCAGCATGTAGACCAATGCCTGGCACCCCACAGGCACTCCAATAGCAACGCAGTACATGAAGTGGGTAACCAGTCTACCACAAAGACTCAAATTACAGCTATTTCTGGTTTTCCCTGTAGGTGCAAAATGAAGGTGAAAGTTACAGCAGGTTCCTTTTAAAGAACATTACACACACACACACACACACACAAAAGAACATTCCACACAGAGCCAAGGGTGACATCATGCTTTCTCACAATCTTTCAGGGCACAGCATGAACTTCAGAGTTTAAAAGGTCTCAGTTAAAATTTCAGATGTGCTACTTGTGATCACAGAGGAACACCCGCTTCCTCTCTGGCAATGGAACTAACACCTACCTAACAGGATAACGAGGATTGAGTTGACGGTCATGAAGAACTCAGGACTAGTCTGCGGATGCCTCACAGTAAGAAAAACATTCTTCCCTCATTTAGTCTACTTCACTACTCCGACTTAAAAGAAATGAAGATCTACTCTAAGTAGATCTACTCTAATCAACTTAGCCACTATCCTACAGGGCCAGGGACAAGTGCTGTGCACAGAAAGCCAGATCCCATGTGGCCAACAGTGGTTCCAGTCCCAACTTGAAAAACACACCAGGCGCAAGTATGCCCAACATCCTGAGAGAATAAAAAAGAGGAGAAAAACAGGACTTCACTGTGGCATGACCATGCCCTGTTGGGGGGTATTTCCCCTCTCTCTCTCTCTCTCTCTCTCACACACACACACACACACACACACACACAACCTTTCTTTGGCAAGTGCAAATGCACTCTGAACATTTTTTTTAAAAGAATTAAAAGTCAAGACCAGCAGAAGGCGTAATGGTTACATCACTGGAGTCCCAGCGTATAGTTGACTATGGTTGGAGTCCCAGACGCGGTGGCTTAAACTTCACGCAAGAGCGTGTGTGGGCATGCTCCCGATCCTGACAGAGAATGGAGGAGAAGGGATTGCAGTATGGGCATCCCCACTGAGGGGCAATTTCTCGCTTTGTCTCTTTGTCTGCCTCTCCAGCGAGCACATGCACCCCTATAGCAAAAATCTCTCGTAAAAAAATAAAAAATAAGAGATGGACATCGTGAAATAACTAAACTAAACACTAATAAAATTCAGAACCAAGTTTTAGCACTGAGAGGATGTGAATGAATATAACCCAAATGAAGTATTACCTAGAAGAAAGATCTCTAAAAGAACATTCCACACAGAGCCAAGGGTGACATCATGCTTTCTCACAATCTTTCAGGGCACAGCATGAACTTCAGAGTTTAAAAGGTCTCAGTTAAAATTTCAGATGTGCTACTTGTGATCACAGAGGAACACCCGCTTCCTCTCTGGCAATGGAACTAACACCTACCTAACAGGATAACGAGGATTGAGTTGACGGTCATGAAGAACTCAGGACTAGTCTGCGGATGCCTCACAGTAAGAAAAACATTCTTCCCTCATTTAGTCTACTTCACTACTCCGACTTAAAAGAAATGAAGATCTACTCTAAGTAGATCTACTCTAATCAACTTAGCCACTATCCTACAGGGCCAGGGACAAGTGCTGTGCACAGAAAGCCAGATCCCATGTGGCCAACAGTGGTTCCAGTCCCAACTTGAAAAACACACCAGGCGCAAGTATGCCCAACATCCTGAGAGAATAAAAAAGAGGAGAAAAACAGGACTTCACTGTGGCATGACCATGCCCTGTTGGGGGGTATTTCCCCTCTCTCTCTCTCTCTCTCTCTCACACACACACACACACACACACACACACAACCGGACTTTGGCAAGTGCAAATGCACTCTGAACATTTTTTTTAAAAGAATTAAAAGTCAAGACCAGCAGAAGGCGTAATGGTTACATCACTGGAGTCCCAGCGTATAGTTGACTATGGTTGGAGTCCCAGACGCGGTGGCTTAAACTTCACGCAAGAGCGTGTGTGGGCATGCTCCCGATCCTGACAGAGAATGGAGGAGAAGGGATTGCAGTATGGGCATCCCCACTGAGGGGCAATTTCTCGCTTTGTCTCTTTGTCTGCCTCTCCAGCGAGCACATGCACCCCTATAGCAAAAATCTCTCGTAAAAAAATAAAAAATAAGAGATGGACATCGTGAAATAACTAAACTAAACACTAATAAAATTCAGAACCAAGTTTTAGCACTGAGAGGATGTGAATGAATATAACCCAAATGAAGTATTACCTAGAAGAAAGATCTCTCGTTAGAAAAGATGCTCTTTGTCCTAAATCCTTCATTAACTGTAAGTCATCTTCATCCATCATATCTAAAGGAAGAGCTTCCTCTTCTTCCTCTTCTTCCCTCTCAACCCTTTTACCTATTCCACACAAAAAAAGAAAAATCAGAAACAATAGAGATACAGAACACTGCATTTTTGTGTGTACAATAGGAAAAGCTTATGTTTTATCTAATACCTTAAACTCGTGTTTACAAATAGGAGCACAGCAGGTTATGTCAGCAAGGACAATTCTTTCTTGTCCTGAAGTGTCCTGAACTAGGCATCTCTGCTCCTAAAAGTTAAATGTCAAGAGCACTCCCAGGTCATTGTCACCAACCAAAACATAAATGTCTCACATATACTGAAATGCCTTTCAAGGCATTTAAGAAGCAATAACTTAGCCCCTTGCTCGTTCTCATCTACAGCGACTTTCATTTCCATTCCACATCAGCCACGCACTAGCAGGGCCACATCCCTGGCCCTGATGATCGCCCCGCTCTCTGACCACAACACTTTGTCCTTCAAGCTCTCATTCAGTTCCTTCCACTTGGACTTCTACAGATCTTCAATCCTTTCATCTTTCTACTTTCTACCGTGTTCTGTCTTTAATCCCTCACTTAGATTGCATGTAATCACTTTGACTACTTTCTTACCAATATCCTCAACTACTTTTCTACACTTCTGACATTCAGACCTAACAAAACCCCAACTACAGACAATTCTAACTTTTCTCTCTGCTCACTTCTGGCTCTTGATTTTTCCACCTATTTATAAAAAAAAAAATGCCAACTAAGTGCCAGACACTGATCTAAGTGCTCAGGATACAACTAAAAACAAGACAACCTTACTCCCTAACAGAACTTCTGATTCTTCCTCACCCCACAAAGATTGGTGAATACTGCTACATAAATGCACACGCTGCACAGATGGAACTCCGTCAACTCTAGGTGAGCTTTCCATTCCTCAAACGTACCACCAATCATTTTGTGTCCGTGATCAGCTTTCTCTTCCATCAGGAACCTTTTCAAACCCTTTATCTGCCATCACATGTCTAACCCCATCACTTACCTCACTTTATAATAATCAAGACCTGGCTGCCTACTTCACTGAGAAAAGAATATGTAAGGTAGACACTCCTTCAACTTCTCATAGCAAATTCAATAGCACTTGTGTCCATCTTTCCCTTTTTTGTCTCTTTTCAAACTTTATTCATTTCATTTCTTCTAATGAGAGAGAAAGAGGCACACTCACAACAGGGTTGTCATGCCATGTTCACCTCCACATTCAGCCAGCCCAGATCAGGGCACATGTACATGTACTTGGCATGTTCTAGAAGATCCTAGGATGCAATCCCATGACCTTTCCCATGTGGTCCAGTTGTGTTAAATCTGTGGACCCTACTTCACTCTTTACGAGGGAAAGGAAAAGGTGTCTCTCCCTCCTATGCTCTGGATCCCCAAAACTATTACCTTCAATCACCTTGTTCTATGATGTTAGCCTCTCTCTCCTGAACACCTTCAATTTCTCCAATCTACGGACTTCACGTTAGCACCTAAATATGGCCAAGTCATTTAAAAGCAGGTAATCTGTCAATGTCTTACCAAAATTTAAGATAATTCTATTACTGGTTAGATGAACTTCTATGTGAAAGAAAAATATGCAGCTGCCCAAAAAATGTAAAGAACTAAGGGAAGAAAGTAGGAAGTGATGGTAACCATATTATTTGCTGCATAAATAAGAGATCATACAGATAGAATATAGCTCAATCTCAGTTTTCACAGCTAGACAGTATTCCATAATATGTATACTTCATTTATTGTAATAATTCATTACTGATGACCATTTTGATTATTTTGGGGTTTGGGTTTTTGGGTTTCTTTGCCAGTATTAACTGTATTGTAATGAACAGTCAAGTATACGTATAATCTTAGCAAATGTTCTCTTCCTCTACCTAATTTGTAAATGTTGGGGTTCCTTAAAATTCTGTCCTAGGTTGTCTTATCCTCACGCTATACAGTCTCCATGGTGACTTTATCCAAGTCTAGGGCTCCTATTACCATCATATGCTGACAATTCCCCAAACTATTTTTTCTAAGTCAGATCTTTCAATTAAATCTAAATATTCTTTTTTTAAAATTCTTCTTTTAAACATATATTTATTTTGGGACCAGCAGCTGGTGCAATGGCTATGTCACTGGACTCCCATGTAGTCCACTGCAGATCAAGTCCTGGACCCAGTGGCTTAAACTCACGCCAGGCACATGTGCGTGCGTGCCCAAGATCCCGAGAGGAGAATGGAAGAGAAGGGACTGTGGCATGGCCGTGCCCCCTAGGGGGTGATTTCTCGCTTTCTGTCTCTCTGTCTCTGTCTTTCTGGTGAGCACACATGTCCTATAGCAAAAACCTCTCAAAAAAAATTATTTATGTATTTATTTGCTGATTTTCAAGCCGCTGGAACTGGAACTGTGGTCAGCCATGAAGAAATCTCGTGCTTTAGCCACCATGCCACCTCCTGACCCAATCTTATACCCCTTTATATCCAACTACTGCTAGACTTCATTGAGATGCTGAATATTTAAGACGAAGAAATTCTTTGCTTTTATTTCTAATATATAACTATTAAAGCATCAAGATTTTAATTCTACCAAAACTTAGAAAAGACCTTAAAAAGTAAACTACATCTAATGCAAAGCGAGCAGGTGGCATGGTAGTTAAGACACTGGACTTGCACATGGCTGACTGCAGTTCAAGTCCCAGACCTGGCGGCTTGCTTTCTCTTTCTCTCTTTTCTCTCTCTCTCTCATTTGAATGCATCAAATTTAAAACTAATCAATCAAATAACTCTTTTTAAAGAAACTAATTCAACCATCTTACATTTTATAGATAAAAAGTACTTAGAGAGTAAGTGACTGAACAAGGTAACACAATTAATAACAAAGTCAAGAGAAAAGCCCAAGTTTCCTAGCTTCTGGTACAATGGCCTTTTGTGAGTTTTTTAAGGTTTTTGCCATAGATCACATGTGTTCACTGGAGTGAGACAGAGACAATGAGAGGGAAAGTGAGAAATCACCCTCCAGGAGGTATGGCCATGCCACAGTCCCTTCTCCTTCTGGGACACTGGGCACATATGCACGCATGTCTAGTATGGGCTTCGAGCTTCATAGTCCAGGATTCAAACCACGATCAGTCATGTAGGAGTCCAGTGCTTTATTCACTACACCACCTGCTGCCCCCCCTTTTATATGTCACAATACTATACTGGCAAGAGATCAGATAAATATGTCAAGATTAAGAGAATGAAATGGAGATGAGAAGACTAAATATTTATTTAATAATTAGATACAGTCATATATGAATACCCCTCAAAGTACCACTAAAGTTTCAGAAGAACTGGTCTGACTCAAGTAGTCATATTCCTTACCTCTTTTGAAGACTTGCAATTTAGTTTTACAAAAGAATAATCTTGACACTCATGGCTCAATTTCACTCCAGTTTCCAAGTGTGTGTGTGTATGGGGGGATTAGAAAAAGCAACATACCTTAACAACACTGTAAGGGATCCATCAGGGAAAGGCAATGTTCTTACCCAAGCTAATGGGCAGGGAACGGGAAGACGGCAGCAACAGGATGGTGCCCACATTTATTTACACGCCTACTCTGAGTTTGTTTTCCCAAGTAGTGACTCTTCAGCTCTGCTTTCCAGACACACTAAAAGCCGAGGCTCATTTTTTTCTTACAACAAATACTAAAATCTTCTCTCATATTATGGTAAAGCACATAGGACTACTATGCTTATCTATTCTCACATAGATCTGAGAACTGAAATAATGACTCCAGGGCCGGCAGGTGGCGTGGAGGTTAAGGTGCTGGACCCCACATGGTTGGCTGTGCAGTTCAAGTCCCAGACCCAGTGGCCTGAAAATCATACCAGGCATATGTGCGTGCAAGCCCCAAATTGCAAGAGGAGAATGGAAAGGGGACTGCTGTGTGCCATCCCCCCAGAGGGAGAGTGATTTCTCACTTTTCCTGTCTCTCTGTCCTGTAAGTACACCCCCTGGCAGAAAAATGTAAACAAAACCAAAGAATGATAACTAGAAGACAAAGTTATTTCCATGAAGACCATTTGGGAATACATCAACAGAAACTAGAATACATGAATGCTTTCATAATTACCTGGTCGTTTGTCCTTTGGGTCCTCCAGAGGAACTGGTTTCTTAGACACCGCATCTTTCACAGCTTGCCTTAGTTTTCTCTGCTCTTTTCGGTATTTCTTGAGGGTGCTTTGCTGTTTAAACTGCTTGTTTTTTAGCTTGTTTTCAAGTTTGACTTTACTAGTTTTTAGCAACTTGCGAAAGCTTGGGACCTGCTTTTTATTTCTTCTCTAGAAAACAACAGAAGAGGCAAGACAGACTCAGATAATTGACCTATTTTATTTTTAAAAGCAGGTTAAAGAGAATTGATTATATATTTCATCAAACCAAATCCACAATTTTAATGTCTCACAGTATTGCTTTTTACATGTAGGAACTAAAATCAAACTACAGATGGCCGGTAGGTGGCCTGGTGGTTAAAGCACTGGACTCCCACATGTCCAATCATAGTTTGAGTCCCAGACCTGGCAGCTTGCCTTCTTGCTTTCCCTCTCTCTGTCTCTCTCTGGTCAAATTTTAAAAAACGATAAACAGAGTCAAAATAACCTGAAAAAAAAAAAAAAAAAAACCCACAACCCTGCAGCATCAATCCTACAGAATGGCACCAACACAACTGTTACTCAACCTATGGTGGAAATCTTCCTGAGACCACAATCAACAGCTACTCAAAAGGGTCTAAGATCCCAAAGAAGGTTAAGAACCACTGATCTAGTGTAAGTGGTTAATCAGGGCTAGTGTAACACCTGCAGTTTAACACATTCAGAGCACGATACTGGCGGTCTTTAATGAGAACAGACATCAATAAACGTTTACAAAGTCCTCCAACAACTTACCTACAACTTGAGTAGTGACTGATTCAGACAGGGTCTGCGATCTGCCAAAGACCCCTAAACTAAGGAGGACAAAATTGAACTCACCTTTGCATTCCACCTCTCCTTCTGGGGACCCCTCATTCAGAAATCCAAATCCCTGAACAGAAATCCAAATCTAATTTTATGTAAGAACTACAGCAAGTCACTTGCTACCCTATCTCCTGCCATTTGAGGGAAAACGAGTATGTCTCGATCCCAATGCTCACGTCATAAACTCAATGAGGGCAGGACACTGCTGTCATTAGTAGAACAAGTGCTCGAAATATGATCTCGAAGAACCCCTCACAGCCTGAATCCTGCGGATGCAAGACTCCCTACTAGTCTCATCGCGGCCCCCAGAAGCCCAGCGCGCACAGCAGGATGCGCTGGGTCTCAAGGACCGGAGAGCTGAGCGCGGAGAGCCCGCTGGGAACCCCAAATCTAGGCCACCGCCCCTTCCACGAGCACGAAAAGCTGCCAAAAAGCGAACCCAGGCAGCGACTGTGCCAACCAGAGGTCCTAAGCCCCAGGATGCGGCTTCTGAGAGCACTTACCGCCTTCATCCTTGGGCCTGAAGGGAGTCCCAGCGGACAAATTCACCAGGGGCGGGAGTGACCCGAGATTCCCGAAGAGCGACACACGTGCTGGAGCCCCGACACTCGTGCGTGGGCCCCGAACACTCCGGGAGCCGGAAGCTGCCTCCAGCCCCGCCCCATTTTCTGACGCCGGAAGTGGGGGCGGGACTTCCGAGGGCAGCATTGGGCGCGCGCCCTTGCGCGGTGACGGTCTCGCGGTTCGGGGCGGGGGGGTCCCGGCGTGCGCGCGGCGGAGACCCCCGAGAGGCGCTGGGGTCGGGGGGCGGCTGTCGGGGGACGCAGGCTCGTGCTTTACGAGGTTCTCCGAGTCCAATCTGTGCCTCTCGCCGCGTTCTTCTGAAGTCCTGGGGAAATCGGGCTCAGCTCTGAGAACGAGAGGGCTTGGGATTTAATCCCCAGTGCGTTCTGAGCCGCTTCGTGTCACTGCTCTCATCTCCGCACGGGTGCTGCTTTTTGTAGACCTTTTCCCCTGAAGTCTTGAAGGCAGAGAGAGGCGTGTTCCTTTTGTGTAATGCCCGCACCTGGACGGGCATTCTGGGCGTGTTCGTGGGAAAGCGACTTTCTCATCAAGACTTGTCACTCCAAAGTCTGATTCTTGAAATTCTTTTTTGCTTCAACTTGAACCACTGTCTGCATGAGAGTCATCTGCATGTCAGAATTTTACAAATGTCGCCTGTGAGTAAACTACTATCTGCTTAGTAATTCCACCAGACATTCATTTGAACAGGAAGATTTATTCAAGAATATATTTTCCAAAACGCTTGCCTCAGGGACCAGCAGGTGGCGTGGTGGTTGGGACGCTGGACACGCCCACGTGGTTGACCACAGGTGGAGTCTTGGACCTGATGGCTTGCTTTCTCACTTTCTGTCTCTCTCTCTTTCTTTCTCTCTCTGCCGTCAAATAAAAAATAAATAAATGAATAAATAAAATTAAATAATTCTTTAAAAATGTTTTTTAAAAATGCTTGCCTCGCTGAGGCTCTTTTTCCTGAATAAATTTAAGAATTCTACTTGAGGCTTTTGGTTTTGTTTTTGTTTTTTGGGGAGAGATTTTCGCTATAGGGCGCGTGCGCTCGCCAGACAGACAGAGAGAGACATAGAGACAGAAAGCGAGAAATCACCCCCCAGGGGGGATGGTCATGCAGCAATCACTTCTCCTCCATTCTCCTCTCGGGATCTTGGGCACGAACGCACACGCGCCCGGCGTGAGTTCTAAGCCACCGGGTCGGGACACGAACCGCGGTCGACTACGTGGGAGTCTAGCGACATAGCCATTACGCTAACTGCTGGTTCCCACTACTTGAAGTTATTTTTAAAAGTAGGAAAAGGAGTCTATGACTGTTAGACAAAGACCTTGCCACTGGATCCAGCCTGGCCATCCTAGCAGGTGAGAAAGGCCATCAGAGTGGAAGGGCTCTGAGTGCCCTGGCTAGTGTGCAATCTTAAATTGAGAAGAAACCTGCCACTCCGTAGCCACCTTGGAGACCAAGAGTCCCCCATCCAGCATGCCCCTTCCACCCTTCTTTCAACTTCCTTCCCCTTTGCTTTCTCTCCACTCAGAATCTCAGAAATAGCAGAACTTGTCCCACTGGAGTATTGTTTCATCGAACAAATTGAAAACATCAGCCTGAGCTCTTCCCAGTGCCTGAATTCCTTTCCAAGCATACCACGTAGTCACTCCCAACCTTCCCGCCTTCCCTGCAGTCTCCCAGGACAAGGCGTCCTCCTTCCAGTTCAAAACCACCTCCTCCCAGCTTCCTTAGACTCTTGAGTCATTCATGATCCCTTCTCTCCTGGGCTCTTTCAAAATAGATCGGCCTATAAATACATTCAAAACTCTTCTAGCTTTCTAATTTATTCTGAAAACCTTGTTTCCTTTTAATTGCTGTTTTGTATTTCTCCTTCTCCGCTTGTCTCCAGTTCCAGGAAAAGTAATGTTTTCTCTGGTGTCACCACTTCTCACAGCCCAACCCTGTGTTAGCTTTCTTAGGAACTATGTCATACTCTTGGCCCATTTTAAGTAATAATCAGCTAAAAATCTCTGGATCACTTTTAAGGAAATCTTGCCAAGCTGCATCTCTTCCATCTTGAGTTTGAGCACGCTATCCGCTTGTCTCCAGTTCCAGGAAAAGTAATGTTTTCTCTGGTGTCACCACTTCTCACAGCCCAACCCTGTGTTAGCTTTCTTAGGAACTATGTCATACTCTTGGCCCATTTTAAGTAATAATCAGCTAAAAATCTCTGGATCACTTTTAAGGAAATCTTGCCAAGCTGCATCTCTTCCATCTTGAGTTTGAGCACGCTATTGTTTAAAAGCAAACAAAAAAGGAAGTTTACACGAGTCCTACTAATTTACTCTTACTGGTTTCTTTGTTTTTGTAAAGAAAGATTTTTGCTATAGGGCGTGCGCACTTGCTGGAGAGACAGAAACAGCGACAGAAAGCAAGAAACCATCCCCACCCTCCCAGGGGCAATGGCCATGCTGCAATTCCTTTTCCGTTCTTCTCTTGGGATCTTGGGCACATATGCACAGGTGCCCAGCATGAGTTTAAAGTCACCAAGTCCAGGACTCAAACTGCAGTTAACTGTGGGAGTCCCGCAACATAACCATTATGCCATCTGTTGGTCACTAATCTTACTTCTTTTTTTTTTTTTTAATCATTTCCTTCTTTATTTTTACATTTTCCCATAAACATTTACATAGCAAAAAATTTTTGCTCATAACTCCATAGTTCTTGACAGTTAATAAACAACTTTCAAAGTTTCAAAATACTGAGTTTTAAAGATAATGTTCAAATACAGAATTCCCAATTGGGAATTTTTTTGTCTAGTTTTTTTTTTTTTTTCATAGAAACAAGCGGCTTTAATCTGGTTTTTGAAGGAATAGCAAGGATATTTCAGGCAAGAGAAAAACAGTACCAGGGAATGTGGCTGTTCGTCATGGATGTAGAAGTTGAGGAAGATCCTGAGGCTAATTTTACCATGGCATCAATTTTTATTTGGTACGATGTGTCCTAGTCTCTTGCAAAGGGATACCTGAGAAGTGGAACAAAGTGATAAAGCCTTACTACGAGCTAGAAGATGTAGTTTGTGTCATGACAAAGAATAATTTTGCCATCTGACATCTCAGTAATCTGCCCTACGTTTCAACTGTGCACCCTAGACCTTGTTCTTTTTTTTTTTTTTTTTGGAGAGGTTTTTGCTATAGGGGTGCGTGCGCTCGCCAGACAGACAGAGACAGAGAGACAGAAAGTGAGAAATCACCCTCCAGGGGGAGATGGCCACGCCGCAATCCCTTCTCCTCCATTCTCCTCTCGGGATCTTGGGCACGCACGTACACGCGCCCGGCATGAGTTTTAAGCCACTGGGTCTGGGACACGAACCACAGTTGACTACATGGGAGTCCAGCGACAGAGCCATTACGCTAACTGCCCATCCCAACCTTGTTTATTCTTAAAACATCTTAATTCTTCCATAATCTCTTAATTCCTTGTGTCACACTTGAAGTGTGATATGATTTTACCATGCTGGAATCTAACATAACATGGTTCTCACACACACACAAAAAAAGTTCAAAATATTTGTTATAGTTTTGTTTGTGACTCTGTAACAGCTGAGACAATATGGTTTTAAATATTATTGAAAGAAAATATTTATATGTCAACCCCTCAAACTGTTGAAATGCAAACAGCATATGTCACATAAACCTCTTCTCTGCCTACCAAGTACTCTGTGATGTATCAGTCTCTTTTTCTTTCAAAGTCTTCCTCAAGGTAATCCTCTGGTTGTGGCTGCTCTTTTAGAATCTACTGATTACACTGCTGGGCTGGAAAAGTCCAGGCTATTTTATGAATTCTTTCACATGGCTTCTCTAATCCTCTCTGCCTGGTAGAACTGTTTGTGGTGCCAGGCCATCTTTCCACGAGCTTCTGTTGGCTTACTTGAGATCTACCTTAGTTCAGTAGTTTTCTGTTAATCTTCAGATTCAACATTCCAGTCAAAGCCCTGCCCAATAATGAGTATTTCCAATTTCTGACTTAATACAGCAAGTATTATTGAACTTATGCAAATAACTATTCTGACACAAAATAAGAATACTCCCAAACATTTTCCAATTCGAAAGGGGTCAGGAAGGGAGAAAAGTTTATGTTTCCATTTAAAGAAATAACAAGAAGAAACTATTTTAACAAATTGCTGAACCTATCAATAGCTCAAAAGAAAGCAAAATCTTTAAATTGGGAAAACAAAGCATAGTAAAAAAAAAAAAAATCAGAATTGTTCTACTCAAAAGCCAAAAAATTCTATTTCATCAGTTCAGTCATATGTCCAATCTCTCTTCTGTTGAATTTGCAGTGTTACTATGGTCTGATCTTTCCACTTAAATCCTGGAAGTTTACCTTCAACGTTATTATTGATATTTCTTGTCCCTAGCATTATGTTGGTCATTTTCTTGGTTGCTTTTTGTTCTCTTATTTCTGTTTGTGTGTCTTTAGTTTCCCTGATAGAGCAAATCCTTTCAGAACTTCTTGAAGAGCGGATCTAGTATTTGCAAATTCTTTCAGGTCTTGTTTATCTGAGAATGTTTTTATCCTTTTTTTTCATGTGAAGGCTAATCTTGCCTGGTATGGTATTCTTGGTTGAAACTGTTTTTCACTTAACACTTTGACTATATTTTCCCATTCTTTCCTTGTTCACATTGTTTCTGGTGACAGGTCTGATGTTAGCTTGATGGTTTAACCTCCGTAAGTAATCTAATGTTTCTCTCTTGCCAATTTTAGTATCTTGTCTTTGTCTTTGATTTGGCCAGTCTGGCTGTGATATGCCTTGGAGAAGATCTTCTTGGGTTGATTCTATTAGGGGTCCTTTGTATTTCTTGGGTCTGAATATTTGAATACCTTTCTAGATTTGGAAAGTTTTCTTCCAGGATTTCATGGAATAGAGCATCAATGTCCTTATTAATTTCTTCACCTTCTGGGATACCGATTATCCAGATGTTTGGGCGCTTAATAGTATCTAGTATTTCTCTTATAGTATTCTCATTTTTTCTGGTTATTTTCTCAGTATT